AAGGCCTTTGGGTCTCACCCCCGTGAGATGGGCAGCGACTTAGCCCAGACGTCCCGCGGACACGCAGGAGCCTCAGTCGGAGCTACGGCATATGCAGTCCCCGCACCCACCACGTCCCTCTCTCGGATCCTCAGGTCTACGACACCGCCTTGCTGTCATCCTTCGTCACCCCAGCAGGACCCGCTACGTAATCTGCCAGGCCCACTTGGGGCCACCAGATGAAATACAGCCATATTTGAATTTCTGATGCACAACGAATAATTTTTAATATAAATATGTCCCAAATATTGCATAGGATATATTTATACTAAGAAATGAAAATGAGGGGCGCTTCATTCAAAAATGAAGAATATCAAGACAGTGGCAGAACATTAAACAAAGCATGAGGCCCTTATAAGGGGGAGACGTGTGCGGCAGCTCAGGTTGCACGCCTAGTCGGCTCTCTCGTCGATACGGGAGACAGTTCAGATCCGCTCAGGTGTCCTAAGGCTAACCTACCACCTCCTCTCTCTTAGCTGCTTTCAGAGGAAACTAACCACGCAGAGGGAAGCTCAGTATCTCAGCCCCACACACTCTCCCACACCTGCATCCTCCTTGCCCCTCCCCAGCCGGTTCCGATAGGAGCCACGTCCCTCCCACCAGTGGAATCCCCCCCGTGGGAGCTCTGGATACCACCAGCCCCTGCCTCCTCGGCACCTGCACGCGCCATTACCCACTGCTTCCCTGCATCTTCAACTTTGGGTCTACCGGAAGTCTCTCACCACCAATGAAACATGCTTTTCTTTACTTTAACTTTCCCTAGATCCTCATATATCTCTATAGCTACCATTCCCCTTCCATTCACATTCAGGTGTCTTGACTGCATGCTCCACATTCCCTCTGATTTCCCACCTGCCAGTGTCCTGCCGACCTGCTGCTACCTGGCTGTGGCACTCTGACATGCCCCCGGGTACAACCGTCAGTGACCTTGGTACTCATGTCTCAGGCCTTATCTTTCCCTTCTCGTTAAAACCCTTTTTCCTTGGCTTTGGTTACACCAAATTCTCCCTGTTTCTTTTATTAGAAGCCACAACTTGCCAGTTTTCTATGTCGTTCCCCTTTCCTTGTACACAAGGGTTCTGAGGCTCGTCCTGGAGGTTTTCCCAGCATACACGCTCATCCACAGCGGAGCCCAAAGGCTCCACAAATGAAGACGTCCACATTCCTCAGGTCCAGACCTCTACCCTGAGTTTCAGTCCACAGGACAGTCCACCATATGTCCTTGAACTCAACGCGTCCAAGATCAGACTTTAAAACTGACTCATTCTCCTCCACACCCTCACCTGACATCACTGCCTCTGTCTTCTGTACCAAAATGGCACATTCACGAACCAGTTTTCAGCCATAAACTCAGGCATCATCCTTGCTCCTATCAGTTCTGCTCCATTGCACGCATCCCCTGCCCCATTTCAGGGCATAGCATCATTCAGGCACCTCCTAGCCTATGCCTGTTTCCAGTCTTACCGCCTCTTGTTCCCACTCAGCCACAGCTGCACCCTCACATACAATGTGCTCAAGGTTCTCTCACGATTTTTCAATCCTCAGCTAGACCATGCCATCTCTTGACGCCCTCTGGGCTTCTGCACATGCTGTTTCCTGTCTGGAATGCTCTTTTCACCTTCTTCACTTCCTTCCTCCTTAATGTGTCTAACTCCTGCTCATCAGCCATGGGAAACAGTAAGCAGTATGGTTAAGACAGATTCTACACCCAGTCTTCCTGGGCTGCAAACACAGTGGAACCTTTCTGAGCTTCCATTTCCCCCTCAGAAAAGTGGGAATAATAATTGAAGACATATTAGTTGAGTACCCAGCTATCTCCCCTTCTTCCTCATGAGAACCCCAGTTTTGTTCAGAGGGCATGTGCTCATTCCAGGGAATGCATGATAATGGGTATAAATTAAATTTAGAAACCCACCTCTTTTATGCCCATGATTAATTCTGGCCAATGAACTATAAGAGGAAGTCTGTTGAGGACTTGTGGAAAACACAATACAAGTCTCATTACCAAGCCAGGGAGGCCCCTGCCCTGAGCCCCATGCCTTAGATGGCCCCACCTATCACAAGCACACACACAAAAGTTGAAGAACACATGGATGTTTCTGTCACTGAGGGTCACACAGCACCCTCAACATCTGCTTGGATGGTGAACACCATTCAGGCGCCCGGGAAACACTTCACCCCTCTTGCCCTAGGTTCTCAAAACAAAAGTAACTGCATCCTGAACGAGAAGGTGTGTGGAGTGTGCTGTGGCCGCTGCCAGAGACCAGCCGTGCTGTGGATGTGGGGAGGATGTGAGAGGCAGGAGAGCTTAAGAAACAGAGAAGACAAATGGCCTTGTCAGAGCCTTCCCCCCAGCACGCATGCGGCACATTCTTGCAAAATGAACTTCAGGAACTCAGGAGTGCTGACTCCCCGTTTTCTTGTTTCTGCTTCTACTCCCGGTCCAGATGTACTCACAGATTGCTGCTCTACCAGCACTAGCTACACACGGCAGCTGAGGAGCACCTCAGTTGCATCGTCATGCAAACGTATGTGTCATACGCCATGCATATCTCACACACACGTGAGATACAACATGCATGAAGCATGATACTAAATCTTCATTTTGGAAACAAACTGGACATTGGAAACTAACTGCAGAGAGTTTTATTTTTCTTTAATTTAAGATTAAGCATTATGATTTTTTTTAAATGACCTTTTCAACTTTTAAATAAATAAAGAATTTTTAACATTACAAATTTAATTTTGCTTTTTACTTTCAACAAATTTGAGCATTTGAGAAAACAGCTTGTTAAAAAAGGTAATTTGACTATTATCTCGTTTGAACATGATTACATAATTTTGCATACAAGTTAAATGCTCTCACAATTGCATTTAAAACTGGCATTGTTCCATACAAAGATAAATGGTGAAATTCATGCTGAAAATTTAATATTTTAATTTTTCTTAGAACATTAAATAGCAAATAAAAATATACCATGACAAGTCAAAAGAAAGACTGCAAAAGAAAGCAAAAGGCTTTAGCTTTTACTCTGATGTAACTCTGAAATGTTACTAGGTGGGGTTTTACCTTTTAGTACCTTAAGTGGCACTTTTTTCCTGCTTTTTGAGTAAGGGGTCTCACACTTTCATTTTCTTTTGGGCTCCATAAATAACGTAATTAACCCTGATGGTGGAACAGAGAGAAAATCTGAGCCCTGGAGGTCATTATCCAACCCCAGATTTGTTTCATCAACAGCAAATGCCATTCTGATACAAGCCACTGTTTGGTGAAGTTTCTCTTAATTGCAGCTAAAAGCATTCCTAACTAATACTGCCTACCTCAAGGATGTTATAAGGATTAAAAGGTAGGTCAAGTAACCAGCAAGCAGGTCGTTTTGAGCTCTTCCCATGAGCCAGCACCATTCTAAGGATGGAGCTCTTGGAGCCACACTGAGCACACAGTGAAGTACCATCTACTTCACTAACCCCAACCCAGCACTGCGGAGTAAAAGAAGGTATGAAAGAAGATGCCAGGACCAAGGGAACATACCAGGCTGACTAAGTAAGAATAAGTCAGGAAACCTCAGCTCTTCTTATTCATGGATTGACCGAAACATCACTTCTCCAGGAAGGTGTTCCCAGTTCCCCAAGTCTGCACAGAAGGCCCACAGCACCCTACGTCCTCTGCTGCAGCATGTGCACAGAGCACATACACACGTTTACTGGTCCATCTGCCACACCACACTGTAGTTCCAAGGTGGGGCCTGTGTCCGTCCCATCCTCCACTGCACCCACAGGGGCTCACAAATAGCAGGCGCTCAGTATATGCTGAATGAGTTAATGCGTGTGCTTGCCTCCCCCTGGTGATTCCACTGTGTCACTATTTGAATGTGGGTGCAGAGGGAACAGGACCTGTTTATTCAGTGATGCATCCCCTGCAGTCCTGACTTCAGTGCCCAGTAGGTAACGGTACTCAAAGAATGTTTGTTGCTCTTCCAGCATCTTTCCCAGTGGAAAGATCATGGGATTTTAACAACAGAGAGGGAGGCAGAACCGACTGCTCCTGTGATACCGTATCTAGCTTGCTATCTAGTTCTACAAGTTAAGAATCAAATGTCTAGGAGGATCCCATCCTACACAGGCACGGGGGCCATATTTTTCCCCTGTCAAGTGGTTTCTAAACCCTGCCTTTCTTGCAGAAGAATGCACGCATCTTATGGCGTGAGGAGGAAAGGCCAGCACAGCTCTCCACGTCACCCGGGAACCTGAGCATGCCACCAGTGGCAGCTTCCTCTCCTCTTTCCTGCGCCAGCTTGTGGCTTCTGCCTCGGTAAACCGACTCCCCAGAACACCGCTCAGAAACAGGGTGCCAGAGCCAGGCAGTGGGACCAAAACAGACCAGGGAATCTGGTCATCTGTCTCTTCAGCCAGACCTGGGAGCTCACAACACCCTCCCAAGGAGGGAGAGAAAACCTCAACACAGCTCCTGTCACACCAGAAAGGAAGGGCCTTGAGAGGGAGGCCGCAGAGGCCGCCCCCTTCCATCAGCCTTCTGCATTCCGCGTGCAGGTTCCCTCTGGGGAACAGATCAAACAGCAGCGGGCAGTTCAGCTGGTCCACCTTGGCTCATTACTGCCGCCCTATTCCACTGGCAGAGCCCCCCGGGCTCAGGGGAAGGAGGATCATATTTTGGACATTATCAGCAAAAGGACCGGCTGTGGTCGGAGGGCTAACTTCATACCAGCCGCCCCAATGCCCACAGCCCTGCCGGGGGCATTGCTCTGCCAGGGCCCCCACAGCCCATCACAGACAGCATGGCCAGCGCCACATCACCGCTGCCATAGTCTTCCCTGCGGCGACCCATCTGAAGGACTGAGTGCGGGTCCAAGTGACTGCCAACCCTTCAGCTCCCTCCACGAGATGGTGCTCATTTTGATTTCCCCACATTGAGCACCCAGGATTTTGGAAACAATCCTTACCTTTCACTACTCAGAGACTCTCTTTCTCCATCGGTTGGGGGATCCTCTTCCTTTCCCCCTTCATGAGTGCAGATGTCACTGGAGCAGTGTTTAAACCTAAAATGAAGTTTGAGTTCATTACCTATCTTTGGACTTAGAAGATGACTTTGCAACAAAAAGTAGATTCTTTCTGGAAACTTGTGGATTTTTCTCTCTGACTCCTAACACCCAACTTTCCTACTCTAAAGGACTTTTTTTTTTTTAAGTTAACTTCACAAGAAAAAAATAGTAACATTTCTGATTCTGGGAGGGGGGAGGGGGAAACAAGCGAATACACTGAGGCTCCCCCCACCCCGGACTCCCATCTGTTCCAAATCTTCCCCTCACAGGATGTAATGTCTAAAAAGCAAGAAAAATATCCCTTCCTCTTCCAATGTTCAGCAGGATCTTGCATGCAAAGACAAGAATGTCTGGTTACTCTGTGGGTTTTCATCTGCTTTTTAACTCACATGTTGCTGAATTACACTGGCCCCTCAATCCCATTTCTCTCTCTCCTCCACCCCCCAAAAAACACCCGGTGCAATGCGGCTAGCAGGCAACACCAGTTCACCACTAGTGAGCAACACCCTGGTTCTAGCAAGGAGCTGCTTCCGCTCCACATCACCAGCCCCTTTGGCACAAAGGATTTGTTCTAAGCCTGGCCAATGACTTCTGCAGATTTCTTAGCTGAAGTCATGCCACAGGGATGCCTAGGCCCCCCGAGGAAGTGAGGCCACCCCCCGGGGTAAAAGGAAGGGCTCAGAATCCCGGACTTCTTGTCCTGCACACTCACGCGCTGCTTCCAGGCACTTTGCCCACAGATGTACACACGCAGCCAATTCCTGGACATCTGAACAGGAAGGATGCGCCCCAGTAGCTGGAGACAGCCATCACTGAGGCCTTTCCAGGCCTGGGAGGGCGATATTTATAGGAAGGGCAGCCAGCCAAGCCAGACCAGCTCCAACTTTATATCAACCAACCCTCCTTTCTGCCTTCTGTAGTTCTCCAAGTGAAATGAGAGGCAATTCCCTTTATTGCTTGATTTTTAAGCAGGGACAGAGGCTCTCATTAGAAGGGTTGAGAAATGCTGACCGAAGAGATGAAGAGGGACCTCATGATGTGCCCCTCCCCTTGGGCCGTCCACCTTCCTCTCTCATTCCCCAGCCGCCCCCACTCGGCCTCCATGGCCCCCCAGGCACACCCCTGGGCACATACTCACACACCCCTTCTTTAGGCCCCAGGGAACACAGAGCCCTGGAGGTCGTCCACATGAGCAAAGCTCTCTGATTACCATACAGCCCACATTTTCCTTCATGCCCTCTCACCACTGCTAATTACATCCTACAAGGCCCTGCGCGATCCACCTTTGACCCCATCATCCTCTGACCTTATTTCCTACCACTCTTCAAGCTCTCTCCTCCTTGCGGTTGCTCAGACGCATCAAACACAGCCCTCAGGGCCTTTGCACCTGCTGTGTCCTCTACCTGGAATGCCTCCTGGGGAGTCTGAAAGCCTGGGTCCCACCCGTGATCTAGATTTCTGCTCAGGAAACTACCTCCCTAGAGAGGCCTTGCTCACAAAGTCTAATCAATAATAAAAGTATCCCCATCTCTCTCTCACTGCTTCATCCCACACACAGCACCTGTCACCCCCGCCCAAAACTCTCCAAGGGACCTTAGTAAGGCCTCTGTGAGCTCTCCTCTCTCCTAGGCCTCGACCTTGGCCTGCCCTCAGCAGGGCGTCCTACTGAGTCACCCCCCACTCTTGCCATCTGATCAAGTTCCTCATCTCCCATCTTGAAGGTACAACTCCTGGTAGGGTAGGGCGGGGACACGAGACAAGCATCACGATTAGTTTTTCCTGCCTCTGATGAAAAATGCCGAGATATAAATAGAACAGGAGGGGCTCCACCTTAAGGCTATGATTCCATTTCAAAAACCAGGGAGTTAGGAGGTAAGATTCCTAACATGCTTTATGGTAATAAGCCAACAACTGGCCCTCTTAAGGCAGGACAAGCAGTGGTGTGTCCTAGGTGGTGTGTCCCCACTGCTTGAGGGTAGCCACTATCTTGGAGAAAAGGATCAATAAAGTCCTTGTGTTAAGTTTATCTTATGGACTATCTAGAGGACTATGGATAATGACATAATGTCTCTCATCAGAGACAGACATCATGAGACCACATATCAAACCTACACCCCCCGAGCCCTTTGCCCCATTCTTGAAATCCCTAAAAGATACAAATCCTAAGCTTTAAGCGTGCCTCCTCTCAGGTTGCCCACACTCCCTTTTCTTCCAGTGTGTACTTTGCCTTAAAGTCTTCTTGCTGCTCAAATTACTGCCGTTTGTCTCTGCGCTCTTCCAAGCCTGTTGGGAGGTTAATAAGAAACCCCTTTTCCCAGTGGTAAGTGTCTGTTACTTTGCTATTTCATTCAATTTTCTAGACTTAAGCACAAGTCTTCACTCTCTCTGTCCCACTTCAGACAAGTTGGAAAAGGCTACTAAGATCTCTGATTTGGGCCTGCAAGTTCCCACCGCCTGGGTGACCCGGACAGGACGGCAGCTGTAGGAACCCACTCTTTAACAGACTGCCTGGAAATTCTTTTCTGTGAGAAGTTCTCAGGACATGATCGCACTCCATCCAGTGCTCTGCAGTCCCCCAAGTCCTGGAGTGGTGGGGGGCGCTTAGTGCCCAGGCCGTGCAGATTCAAGCGGACACTGGACACCAGGTGACCCAAGCTTTAGGAGTTGCCAAGGGATCTGCCCTATGCCAAGAAAGAGTTCAATGAACCTCCCTCCCCTCTCTGTCCTCCCTTACTCTCTGCTGCCCGCCCAGCTGCTGCCATTCACGACGGACCGCTCTCACTTTAATGAAGTCCTTCCTTACCTGCACTTGTCCGACCTGTTAGAGAATTCTTTCTCCATCAGAGTCAAGAGCCCTCCCCCATCCAGGCTGAGGTCTCACCTAGTGCACAGGGAGAGACCTCCCCAGATGCAGCCGCCCAACAGGACTGGGCCTGCCTTCTGCAAGGGCCCAGTTAAACTGGTTTAGCAAGAATCCCCTAAGCCCTGATGTGCTCCACCCACAGACCCCTCACTCTGCTGCTTCTAGATCCCCAGCTGTCATTTCTGTATTCAGAGTTAAACTCACTTTCTTTTCCCTATTGCAACTGTCCTGAATCAAGTCTCTCTCACCACTTAACAAGTGTCAAAATAATTTTTCTTTAACACCACCTGACATCATACGATCTTTTTGTTCACCCGTCTCCCTCCACTGGTCTGTAAGCTTCCCGAGGGCAGGATCTGTGTGTGTTCTGCTCTCCACTAGCTGGCTAGCTTCTAGAACAGCATCTGACACACAGCAGACACTCAAAAATATTCGTAGAGCAAAGAAATCCAGCTACCTCCTCCTGTCTCTTGGCCTCGGTTTACCTGCCACCCTCTCTAGGAAATCATTTCTGAATCTCCCAAGGCTGGCCCTGAACTTCACCTAGCAATGATCATACAGACCACAAGGGATAATTCTCTGGCTTAATGTCTACTTTAAATTTGTTAATTATATAATATACTAATATGCAGTATAAGGAAAGAAGTCTATCCTGACTGTCGGCCCCCCTTCCACACCTGCACAGCACCCTACCTCCAGCCTGTGTCCTCTGCAATGTACATCCATGCACACATCTGTTTGCAAGTCTCCACTCCCCTCCTCTAACACACACACAGGCTGCCTGGCCCCTGGCAAGACCTTCACTGTAAAGGGGGAGGAAGAAGAGCCCAGGTGGGGCTGACAGCACGCGCTCTGCTCTCCGAAACCAAGCCAGCTTTGCCCCCATCTTCCTGGCTTTCTCCACCCACAGGAGGAAAGGTGCCACTCCTGCTGGCAACCCTGCAAAGGGAGACGAGCCCACAGCGCCGGCCACTCTCGGCCCCCTTCTCCGCTCCTGGCAGCTCACGGGGCCCACTGGGCCAGAGCGGAGCCCCGGAGGGCGAGCGGCTCGCGGGGCCCAGAAAGCCGCAGGGCGCCAGGGCCGGGAGGCGGGGAACTCCAGCCTGCCTGGAGGCCTGCGGGAGGGGCCCGGGCGGAGGGGCGCGGGCTGTAGAAACTGCCCGAGTGGGTTTCCACTTACACGGGCAGCAAACACACCAAGGCCCTTCCGCAGCCCCGAGAGCCTCTCGGAACAACGCAAACCGCCAAGGGTTTGTGAAAAGCTGATCCGATTGAAAAGCGCTGTGAACGGGCCGAGAGCAAGTGCAGCCTGACCAGCCCTCCGGCGGCCTGCGGCCCGAGCCCGCGCTCGTCCCTCCTTGGCCTCTGCTCGGGGGCGCTGGACATTCAGCAACGCACCTGGGGCAGGGGCGGGAACTGACCCTCACCCCGAGGGCCGCTGACTCCTGAGAGCAGGACCCCGGCCAGGGCTGGGAGGGGCGGACTCCACGCGGCCCTCTGCGCTAGGCAAGCTCGCCCCTTACGCCCCAGGAATCCTGGCCACGACCAGCTGCGCGGGAGGCACCGCGTCGGCGCCCCGCCCGCCGCACGTGGGTCTCCTTTCTGGCGGCCATTCACTCCCTGAAACTCCGAGTGGAACTGGGTCTCCGGATGAGCTTGCTGGGCAACAATTAAAGGAAAAGCAAACCCTTCTCGAATACTCCAGATTCTGTTTCGCTGGACTTGGCCGGGTCCCGGGACCCGCTTCCCATCATGCCCAGGTGACCAGCCATCCCGGGCTGCAGGGCTGTCCCGGTTTAGCACCGAGGGGACCACGGCCCAGGACGGCGCTGGTCACCCTCCTCTGCGGCCCTCCCCAGCCTCCTCCCCTGCGTCCCCATGGTTTCGGGTGGGCACATATTTGGGGAAGGTCGGTTTCCTAGTATTGCTCCCTAATCCTGATGCCTTGGTTGGGTTTTAGAGACGAAGAAAGTGCTGAAGCTGGAGGTCAAATACATTTCTTTCAACCAGAGGCTTTAATTTTAAGAGGGAACACGGCACTTTCTTGGCTGTATCTACAATACCTTGTTCAATTTAATCCTACGAGGTAGGCAACATTTCCCAGATGGGGAAACTGAGGCCCAGGGTCACAGAT